TTAGTTCTGCCAACTGTATGAGTTGTTTTTTTTCTAAACTTAAATCTCAGTATTCAGGTTTAATTGCCATGTTAGCACTTTGAGGAAAAAAAAGTTGGCATGTATTGCGGTTTGGGCAGTCTGGCTCAAAAAGTATCGCCATCACTGTTCTAGTGCGTTTGGTGCTTTTGCCGGTCAACTTTTGGGAGCTCCTGCAGTCACAATACGGGGTGCTCCACCTGGCTGTCAGGTAGCATTTGTTCCCCTTAGTCTCTGGCAACTTCTCTCCAAAAAGCGCTCTACTGGCATGTTGCAAAGTGGTCCAAAATCCCGGATCAAGTTGTCCAGGAACCGCACGGTCACCTCATACCGAAAACCGTTCCATAACATTCACGGCTAAGTCCTGCTGAGGTGACCTGGGACCCACAAAGTCCTCATGCTAAAATTAGTTCCATAGTGGTCACGGATAAGTACCTCTGAGGGCCATCAGGGGGTTTGATTCATGTGACGGCCGCCAGGGAGCCAGCATTCAGTTCCATTTAGATGAAGGGAAAGTGCCGAACCAGGGGAACCCAGAGAAAGCTGCAAATAGCGGCCGGGCAGGGTAACTCCCAAACAAGGTCTCAGACCTGGACCATAGTCTGTGGGGAGGAGGCCAGTTTTCACACTCTTCCAGGAGTTCATGGCACACGTCCGAGGAAATGCGTGTTTGTCACAATAAGAATGCAGGCCAGGGTGGCTGTCGATCAGTGCCCTAACAGTGTTAAAGTCCTACTCTCGCAGAGCAACATAGTATGTCTTAATGGCATTAAGGAGTTAAACCATGATGATAAAGATCCTACACTCCCCTACATGCAAAGTTATGTTTATTTTTACTTCGTATCTGTTATTTTTGCTTGCCAACATACAAATGTACAATCAGCATGAACCTGGAACAAGTTTAAATATTTCCTGCACACCAATGCACTACAAAACAATTCCCTCCATGTGGACATGCCAATTTTTAAAATGCCAGATATTAACAGTATGAAATGAAAAGGATATGACAGAAAGGTAGCTGCCAACATAAATTGAAGATTTGTTTAATATTTTGTCGGTTCATAAGATTTTCTTCACACACCACTGGTATTTATCACCACTGGTAATGCCCATGCAATTCCGACACCATGCAGTAGCCAGCAAATCATTAACTGCTGTTTTCATAGCACAAAGCACGTTACTTACAAACTGCGATCACAGCTCCTGAAGGAGGAGACAAGGAGGTCATTTATTAACTCTGTTTCTTCCAAACACAAACAGACAAGGATTAAGTGTCCCTTGTCTATTTATATTGTATATGCCCCAGGGTAAACACAGTGAAGAGGTTTAATCATGCGTGGGCTAGGCATAAGGCTATCCTAACTATAAGATAAGGCTAGGGACTAATGAAAGTATTTAGAATATTGGGCAGACTAAGTGGGCCGAACGGTTCTTATCTGCCGTCACATTCTATGTTTCTATCCAGACCAGGATTCTTGTAACACTGTTCGAAAAACCTTTATGTCCTGTGTTTGTGGGTTTAGTTTTTCATGCTGTTGCTCGTGTTTACTTGCCATTAGGGATCATATATGCCTTTCTTCTTCTGCACCTGAAGGGATAAGCTTCCTCAAAGGGAATCTGAAAATTACTGTATATTACAAAACAGTATAAAATAGAAAGCACAATGTCTTTAATACTAAGGTCTCATCAGTGCACATTGTTTAAAGCAGCCCTGTCATCCGCTACAGATGAAATTTCAGTAACTCAACAGATGCAGATGGCGGCAGTGACTGACATAGGCTCCTGGCAGGTAAGTAAAACTCACCATTGCACTCCATGGCCACCAGACACTAAGCGGCGAGGTCACTATGGGGGGTCTTGCAAATTATGCATAGATGCCAGCAGGTTAAAAAACCCCATTTAAAGGGCTATTCTAACCACCTAGACCACTTTAGTGATTTGAAGGCATCATTGTGCCTGGAGTCAGTATGTTCTGCATTTCACTATGATACGCAGCACATATAGAAAATTAACCCATCTGGTGCTGGAAGATATGACCGCCTCTGGTAGTGTCTTTGGGCATCGTTAGCTAGCTCAGAACAAACGTTTCAGGCTGACTAATATCAATTCTGTGTAAATTGGCATTTGATGCCTGCACTTCTCAGTGATGGAACACTGGTAAACTTTAACTTTTTTTTTTTTTTTTTTTTGGGAGGCTGGAGCAGTCTAGGAAGGGTTACTACAACAAAAAAACAAGTGTGGGTGGAGAAATCCTTTAATTTCTTACTTCCCTAAGTCCATAATCTACAGAATACTTTGTAAAGTAGTATAATGCATCCATTTCAATATCCCTGCAAACACCAACAGCTACCTCATGTACACTTCCCTTACATGTGACCTTCGCTATCTATTAATGGCCTGAGTTTACTTTTTTTTTTTTTTTTTACAAAGCTTTTCACCTGATTTAATATTTATAGATAAAAGGTTTAAAATGATTTAATATTTTAAAAATATATTTTGATATTTTTATATTATATATTTTGTTATATTTTAATATTTTGTAAAACTAATTTTAAGAGTTTTTCCAAAAATATTAACTCTTTTGAAAAGCTTACCCCAAAATATAAAATCAGGTCAATATATTAAAAAAAAAATTTCTGGCTAACTGATCACAACTCTAGCTATCACATTTGTTTCCTTGGTTGTTTCTATCCATTCAATAGGCTTAGATTGAGGTGAAGATTATACTGAAACGGGGAAAAGGTGGGCACACACAATTAGCATATGTGGAAAATTAAACAGCCACTCTAAAAGCATCATAATTATTGGATTACGATGGTTGAGACAGAGTCTGTAGGAGTTCATCCCAGGTTTGTGTCAAAATTGTTTTCAAGCAGTTTGCCAAAAAACATTAACAGCGTCAACTACCTTTAACATCCTGAATAAAGGAAGGGCTGAAAAAGTACGAGTCCACCAAATTTGGGACATGGGACTTAGGGACTAGATCCGACATTCCCACTGCATATAGCCATCAGTTTCTGCAAACCTTCTAGATACAAGTAAAGGATTGGTCAATAATTAGCACAGCCCTGCTGTTGGCTAATAAAGCCAACGTCAAGAAGAGAGGTTCTGAGCAGTGTCTTTTTTTTTCTGTTTTTATCTAGCATCAAAAATAGTGGGCCTAATGCAAGGTCTGGTCTGTGGGACCTATAGATACACTGCTCCCTGTGTTAGATAACAGAGTAGGATCTCCCTCAGGAACCATTAAAGCTTGGATGTCTTGGTTCCTGAGCAGAAGATTGTCCTCCTTAACTACAGGGGATCTAAAGTTTAGTCTGGCAGAATTCCTGTAGTTAGAATCATGCTCCATTGCCCATCTGGAGTGATGGGCAATGGAGCAGTTTTCAGGAGACTCACTCTAGCGATCTGTACATTGCTAAGCTTCTCTGGCTCAGTAGAAGCAGCTGAATGGACAACCTCCTCAGACTCCCAATCTACTTTAGGAGAGGCATGTCTAGAACTGGATCAGCTTTGGGAGGATGAATGAACATATGCTGTAGAAGAGGAATTAGAAAGACTGTTTAACCTCCAATGACATTTGTCCTTTTCTCTTCTTGTGTTTCTGGTGCTCTAGAAGAGGAAGTAGAAAGACTATTTAACCTCCAATGACATTTGTCCTTTTCTCTTCTTGTGTTTCTGGTGCTCAAACGAGGGAAGCACACTATTAACCTTTGGGGAAGTTGTAATTTTAATTTTCCGCTTACTTAAATGTTTATGAGGGGAAGGAGGAGCAGAGATCTGATCTGCAGATGAGGAACTGGCAGAAGAAACTAGGAGTCTTTCCTTATGTTGCCCTTTACGTGGAACTGGTACCATATCCTTCTCAGAAAAAGAAATAAGAAAAGGATAAGTCCATGGTAATAAAGGCTCTCCCATGGTGCCTTTCAACATTGATGGGGCTGCCTGTAGGAGAGGCATCCATAAGATCTGTGGCAGACATAGATATGGAGTTCTCCGTCAACTATGTTATTTGAAAAATCTGAGGTTATCAGGGCTCCCGTAATGAGCACGGCTGTCCTGATTACCTGATTGACTGAAACGCTGCTGCTGTGCATGAGCTTATGGTTATGGATGGATTATATTGATGTTATGGCCTGTAACTCTCTTTACTCACAGCCAGGTAAGCATGCTCCCAGAAGCTCCACATGGTTTCCAACCTCACCTTTAACAGTCATTATATGATTAACTCAATGGTCAGGGTATAACTGTCTGGGGTTTGGTGGTTTAGATAACTCTTTGTTTTACAGTAGTATTTTTCACACATGTCCAAAGTCTCATCAACAGCTTTCAATTTGAGGATGTGCCAACCTATCATTGCCCAAGCGTGACAATGAAATAACTCACTGAGTCACTGACTTAATTTGTAATAACGCAGGGCATTGTGACCTATTCAGTACTAACGGTCCCCAAATGCAGGTTTGAAAAACACTGGTTTGCACAATTTGCACTAAACCAATCTGATTCTTCTCCAACTTTTTTCAGGTCATCTCACAAATCATTTGTTCAAATTACATTATATCCATGGCAAAGAAAAAGAGGCAACTACTATTAAATGAACAGTTAATAAGACAGAGGAGTCCCTGGTCTCATGGGAATTGTAATTCTTAGAAGATAATGACACATATTCTATAGTGAAGGACAGGGAGAGGGGAAGATACGTCATTCCAATGTACACACTATAAATATATAAAATGAAGAACTAAACCAAATGTCATTTGTATCCCATATTCAGTAGCTTTAACCTGTCACCCACATACAGTGAAACTAGCAGAACAACTTTTTTCACACTCCCCACCACCATGACTGTATAATATTTATAGAGTACTGTTTGTGGCAGCAACACAAGGCTATGAATGATATATGTGAACTTTCAGCCCTGTCTCTGTATGCCTGCCCACTTGGTCACAAGGCAAATATCCAGCTTCTTTTACTAGCATTGCGTTGTGACACTGAGTAAAACACAGCACATCCTAAAACCCCTCCTAACACAGGGGCGGGTCATCATAACTGTTTCTCTCCAGCTCACTATATAACACAGTATCTGCCTTCTGTAAACTCCCACCATCTTCAGGACCAGAACGGCAATAATCCCAGCCAGCACCTTCCTTCACATCTGGTCACCATGTCTCACGGACCAATCTACAACCCAGTAAGTACATCTCTCTGGGCTGTCTGGGCATCCACTGATAATCACTTGGGACAGACTCAGCAGTATCCCCTCTCTCTCAATGCACATTCCTTACTGCCTCCCTTGCTCCCTGTGTTATAAAAAGTGTCTGAGTTTTCCCTGCCCCCTCAATACATTAGTTCACAGGGTTATTGGGCAAACTTAACAATTATTGTTAAACGTTTTCTGTTAAAATTGCTTCATTTTGCAACACTTGTGTGAGGGAGTGTGTTGGGGTATCTAAAACAATGCAATACATGTCAGTATCCTTCCCTTTTAAATGAACATTTGCCAATTCTTTTGCCAACGAGAATCTGTTTTTGATTACAAATCATGTGATTGCATATGGAATTGTTTAATATGTTCCATTTCCTGCACATAATGTTCATTGTTGTTGAAGATATGCTGTTTCCTGGACCTGTTGGTTTAAGAATATTTTAACCCCTGCTGGAGGCTAAACTATGCACAACCGAGTCATAAAAGTAACATATATATATATATATATATATTTTTTTTTTTTTAATTCAGAATATATTGATATGGAATCCAAGCTCCTACAAGGGTTGATTTAGTTTTTTCACTTTGTTGAAAGATAGACAGCAGTTTACCATATGCAAAACAAATAACAAAAACCCTACAAGATTTGTAAGCCAGTCAACTTGCTGTGGTAGGATATTACTATGTGCCAGGGGTAGTCAACCTTTTTCTACCTACTGCCCACTAATGCATCTTTCTTGATGGAAAAATTTCATTACCGCCCACCAGTTTTCGCGAAAGTGTGGAATATTTTTTAGAAAGGAGGGTGTTTAAAAAAATGTACGTACATTTATCTTTTTATTTCTACTTTATGCATGTTTATAATGTTTTTAACTTTGTAGAGTTTAATGGGAAAACAATAAAGTACATTGAAATTACCTTTTAACTAGTGATTAATGAGATCCTTGAGGCTGATGCTGCGAGACTAAATATTTGATATCTGGTTTGATTTTCGTAAGGAACAAACGAAGGTCTCCTCTTTCGGTGATATTCAGACGATTTCTCTGTTTGCTCATAATGTGATTTCTCATCTGTGTGTCAGCTCCCCTCCTCTCCCTCCTCAATCCCCACACACACACTTTTTTACCTTTTTTTTTTTACATTCCTTATAGCAATGCCCAGCAGGAAGTCTGAGCTACGTAGTCCACTTACTATTATTAGCCAACAACAGCTCTCTCCTTTTCCTTTTTATATTTTTTATTTACCTTCTTTCTCCTTTTTACAAGTACTCTGCTCCTTCTTTCTCCTATTCTACAAATACTCTGCTCCTTCTTTCTCCTTTTCACAAGTACTCTGCTCCTTCTTTCTTCTTTTTACAAGTACTCTGCTCCTTCTTTCTCCTATTCTACAAGTAATCTGCTCCTTCTTTCTCCTATTCTACAAGTGCTCTGCTCCTTCTTTCTTCTATTCTACAAGTGCTCTGCTCCTTCTTTCTTCTATTCTACAAGTGCTCTGCCCCTTTTTCTCCTATTCTACAAATACTCTGCTCCTTCTTTCTTCTATTCTACAAGTGCTCTGCTCCTTCTTTCTTCTATTCTACAAGTGCTCTGCTCCTTCTTTCTTCTATTCTACAAGTGCTCTGCTCCTTCTTTCTCCTATTCTACAAATACTCTGCTCCTTCTTTCTTCCATTCTACAAATACTCTGCTCCTTCTTTCTCCTATTCTACAAATACTCTGCTCCTTCTTTCTTCTATTCTACAAGTGCTCTGCTCCTTCTTTCTTCTATTCTACAAGTGCTCTGCTCCTTCTTTCTTCTATTCTACAAATACTCTGCTCCTTCTTTCTTCTATTCTACAAATACTCTGCTCCTTCTTTCTTCTATTCTACAAGTACTCTGCTCCTTCTTTCTCCTATTCTACAAATACTCTGCTCCTTCTTTCTTCTATTCTACAAGTAATCCGCTCCTTCTTTCTCCTATTCTACAAGTACTCTGCTCCTTCTTTCTCCTTTTTACAAGTACTCTGCTCCTTCTTTCTGCTTTTTTTAACAAGTACTCTCCTCCTTTATTTTATCCTCTTTTTCTATTTATCTTTCCTTTTTTTTTTTTTTTTTTTTTTCTTTTTATCTCCTTTTTTCATCCATTTTTTTACCTTCCTTATGGCAATGTACAAGAGTAAGGCTGAGCTAGTTAGCCCACTTATTATTATTAGCCAACAACAATTCTCTCCTTGTCCTACCTATAACTTTTTTTTCTCCTATTTTACAATTGCTCTGCTCCACTTCTGCCTGCCCCTGCTAAAATCCCTACCACCCACCTGGAATCCTGAAACGCCCACTAGTGGGTGGTAGGGACCAGGTTGACGACCCATGCTATGTGCTAATGACAGATTGCAAAATGTACCTGAGGTGCATTTGCCGTCACTCACAAAATGCTTGTGATATTTTTTAATTAATGTATTGTGAAAGTATTTACATAACTTGCAACATCTAATTATTTATATATTGATATTGTATCGCAGCCAGTTCCATTCACAACACCTTTTCCATATGGTCTGAATGATGGCACACTTGTGGTTATCAGTGGCAATGTTACTCACTCAGGTGACAGGTATGTTGTGTACAATTTTCCAATATCTGTTTGTGCTAATCTTTGCTGTGTCTGTCTGGCGGCCAGGATATACTGTGTCGTGTTAATCCCCAATGCTGTGTTTTCTTAAGAGTGCCAGAGGATATTAATGAAACATTACAGAATATATAAATTTTTTATAGAACACACTCGAGTAACCACATTTCACATTTTACAAATCATAGTTTGCGGATTTTAACTATAGGCGGTAAGACAAACTTGAAACACAAAAAAGAGTAATATAAAATCTATAAAATTATTACGATTGAGCAGCTGTTGCCATAGAAAGCAACACAACACAAAAACGGTTGTCTAGCAATATAACAATAAATAGGGTGGCGCTCAGTATAGTATAACAAAAATGTATTGCAGCCAATTAAAGCAAATAGAATTGCAAACCCCTAGTGTGAATATGAATACTGGTATTAAAACCCTGCAAATAGCACATAAAAACTACAGAAATATATAATAGTATATAGACACTTCATGGGTGAACAAATCTCATTCACCAGAGTCAGCAGTTCAAAAGACTGAAATAAACATGTATAAAATGCTGGTATCTGTATAACCTTGTACGAGTACAATGTGGGTATCTCCTCATACACTCTAGTTCTGGCTCATCAACCACAGAAATAAACAGAGCAAAATCAAGGTAATACGTAAAAAAAAAAAAACAAAAAAAAAAGTGCCACAACAGTGTAAGCGAAGTGCAAGTGAATTTCAAATTTAAGTTTAAAAAAGCTAAACTGGAAAAATCTCTAAACCTTATCTTATGTTTTTAATTTGGCTACTCTGATCTTAAATTTAAAATTGACTTTGAATTCTCACTTTATTAAATAACCCTGTAAGCGATCCAAGATAGTAAACTCAACACTTTTTGATGTTCCAACAATCCAATGGATGAATACGACACACTATTGGGAACGAATTTTTGTGCAGTAATAGACTTTGGTGTCTACGCGTTTCGTTCATGGTGCAAACTTTGTAATGGCTCACATGAATGATTGTCCAAAGGAGCTTGTTGAATGAGTTTATGAGGAGACACTGACATTGCACCTATTCTGAGCCTATACAGAAACCTGCATGTTAATTTAATCTGAAGTGCCTGTAAACTGTTTCATATATCGCTGCGGGTTTATGCACTATTTACAAAGTTTTAATATTGGTATTTATATTCACACTAGGAATGTGAGTACTATGTGGCCTATTTTTCAATCAATATTTTTTTATATATATATATTATCTAGCACCACCCTATTTATTGTTATATTCACTGCTGGCAGGTGTGCAATATGAGCCAATAAAGTACAGCAAAAAAAGTGGCAAAACATGACTAGATTAGCATTAGAAATTTAATTTAACTTTTTAAGCTGTAGCACGTGATGGCTATCATAGGGTGCTGTCAAAGCATCTGTTACCATTTATTAAGCCATCAACTGATAAGTATGTATTATTTTACATTACTTGATTTAATTTACTTGCACACTTGTGCACTTATGGGTACTAGGATCACAAAGATACCCAAAAATAGTTGTATGATTGATCGTGCTTATTTATATCAAACGTCAGGTTCTAATTAATTAATACACACATATAAAATGGAATCGAAACATTTACTAAGAGTTAAAAAATTACAAAACTGCAACACAAGTTCATTTATATCTAAATTGTATCTGGTCATATTAGTGAGACCTATCATCTTCCCTATGTGTGATTTGGCCCTGGATGATGATGTTGTCCATTAGCTTTGGGGTTATGCCTCTATTTAGGTCTTCCTTCCTTGGGCTCAGCCCTGTCGTGGTTTATATTGCCCGTGAGTGCAGTCTCTATATTTGGTGTTCTTGTTACTAATGTGTCTTCATAAAGACCATTCTGCTTTTCTGTGTTCTTGACCCTAGTTTTGTAATCATTTTATGAGTGTTCCTTGACTTGGCCCTGGCTTCCATTCTGATACTATATTTTTACCTATCTTGGGCACACGTTAAGCATATCACACTCTTTTACTTCACACTAGCTACTGTTTCCTGTTCTCTGTGTGTATGGGGTTACCCCAACCTCACATATGCAACCTGTCCAATGCTTTCTCTGTCCATGCAATGTTTTGCATTAGCATATCTGCAAGATTACATATACACTTTAAACTACTATGTTTGTGTCAGGTATAAAACATATCTCTTTAATATATATTTACACAATTTTTAGGTTTGCTGTAAACTTGCAGTGTGGACACGGTGGAAAAGATGACATAGCTTTCCATTTTAACCCACGTTTTGAAGGGGGTATTGTTGTCTGCAATACCATGGAGCATCAGAACTGGGGCTCCGAAGAAAACAAGAGGGAAATGCCTTTTCATCGTGGACAGCCGTTTGAGATCCGAATCCTTGTTTCACATCACAGTTACATGGTAAGTGTTTTTCAAAATATTCTATAGCTTGGATTAAGGGGTCAGTCACCATAGTAGCATAATACCATAATATAAACGAATAAGAGAGTGCACTAAGGCACTCTACAACAAATAGAAAAAAGCTGCCAGATACTATAAAAACCTTCCCAAGTTTTAAAACTATAAACAAGAAATTAAATAAAATTAGTATAGGCGCTTAGGGAAAAAATAATGATATCATAATATAATAATAATTCCAAAAGTGAGAATTCCAAAGTCAGTATTTTGAAAGGATATGTCCACGTTGTTAAGGGAATTATAACGGTTGAAAAATAGTCTCTGTCCTCTGTAGCTTAAGTCAGTTTCGTCTGATGCATCATAGTATCCAACCTTAAATAAAAAAGGATACTAACATAGTGTAATTCCGTAACAGTTTATTTCTAGTGATGTCCCGAATGGTTCGCCGCAAACGGTTCGCCGCTGACTCATCATTGAGTAAACTTTGACCCTGTACCTCACAGTCAGCAGACACATTCCAGCCAATCAGCAGCAGACCCTCCACCCTCCTGGACAGCTCACTAAGAATGCAGCTTCACAATGAATGTAAAATGGATGCTGTCCAGGAGGTGGGAGGGTCTGGGAGGGAGGGTCTGCTGCTCGGGACATCACTATTTATTTCTCATACATAAAACCCTCCTAAATAGAAACTCTTCTAGGATATCGTGGTGGAACTTATTTCAAAGTGCCACTATGTAAGCATTGGTACAGTACAGTGTACTAGCCGGAATATTGATGGTTACCGCTCAGCTAATAGAAGTATGCAGATCGGTCCTGTCAATGTGCACTCAAACCGATCTCCTTGCAGAGACGCCGGCTGTCAGGTACTGCTCTAGTAGTTCTCTCAGTTCAAAATTAAAAATTCCCGCCAGATTAGATCTATGTGTTTCACCTGTTAGATCTTGCTTTCTCAAAATGGATAATCTGGGGGATTAGAGTTGAATATATACACTCCCTGATTACATATCATGGGTGTGTGAACACTTATGTGTTCTGGATTAAAAATAAATACTTCTTATCACAAAACATAATATACATACATGCAATCTAACATAAAGTGCTAGTTTTCCCCACAAATTAATTGTAGTATACAAATTAATCAAAGAAACTATTATCTTTAACACATTTTCTTACTTGGGTATCCATACTTCGTAATTGCAAAAAAAACATTATTTTTGCGAACAGTCTGATATTTAACTTGAAATTTCTTTGCTCCCAGTTCAGGCATGAGTTAATTTCAACAGACATATTATGTTCTTATATATTAAAGTATTGTAAATTATTTAAAACAAATATTTAAATAAAAAAAGAAAACAAATATATATCCACATAAAGAGATTTAAGCACGATCTCAATTTAGTTGATATCTCCATTCTGGAGTCATCGAATCAGCAAAAGTAGAATAAAATCAGATATATAAAACAAGATCCAGTATTTTCATCTATATTACCTGCTAAACCTAGATTCATATTTAGAGGGGCACCAACACTTAAAGATAAATTAGCACAAAGCTACACTAGACCATCACCAGAAACACATTTTTTGAATTCACATATAGGTTTTTTCAAGTGTGGTACTTGTAGAATTTGTAAAATAGTGGGTCCACCTTTTGGAAAACCCACAGAATTTTATTCTACAATTACAAAGAAGAAATATAAAATAAAAGAATGTATAACGTGTAATTTAAAACAAATTATTTACTTACTAAGCTGTAGCTGTGGTCTACAATATGTAGGGCAAACAAAAATTTTTTTGAAAACAAGACTGGGAGAACATGTGTATAACATCAATAGGAAATTTGAAAAGCATACATTGTCCTACCACTTTAAGACCCATCATGACAGCAATCCAGCCTCCCTGAGTTAGTGTGGGGTCCAACAAATCAAAGTGCCTTGGAGGGGGGGTAACTTAATCAAAAACATTACATATAGAGAAACATACTGGATTTATAGCTTAAAAACATTAGTCCCATCGTGGCTGAATGCGGAGTTTGAAATCACTAATATTTTATGATTTGAACATACTTTTTAGCAAATTGTTTATAAAGTTTTTTTTTAAACTGAAGAGTTCGAAATTAGGTAATCATTTCTGATTTCTAATTTATTTTAAAAATAAATTTTATATTTCTATATCTGATTTAATTCTACTTTTGCTGATTCAATGAATTCAACTTCTGCTACAGAGGACACAGACTATTTTTCAACCGTTATAATTTCCTTAACAAAGTGGACATATCCTTCCAAAATACTGACTTTGGAATTCTCACTTTTGGAACTTATTATTATATTGTGATATCATTATTTTTTTCCTATATTTGAAAAATAAGGGATTATCGGCTAAGCGCCGATACTAATTTTATTTAATTTCTTGATCATAATACCATACCTTTGTAACGTTTTTGGTGCAGAAGAATGGCTTATATTTGCAGTACTATGTGAGAATCACTGCACCCCCTGTATTTTATCTTCCAAGTTGCTTCTGTCATTTGTGTGATCTTTGTCAACTCGCCAGAGAGAGAGACAAGTGAAGAAGGTATCCTGGTTCAGAAATTCTGAAGTGCCGGTATTTGTTTCTTTAATACTCAGCAAATCTCTGCAGATTTAGCAGCATGAGATGTATCGTCCACAATAATAAGGGGAGGATTTATCAAGGCTAATCATGTACTTTTTGGGTGCAAAGTGCTGAATGTTGAGCGACATTCTATTGGTTTCCATGGTAAATGGACCTTATATAGCACTTTGCACTGGAATAGAACCTGTTTCGCATTGATAAATCTCTTTTTCTGTGCTACAGCTAAGCCACAGCAGTCTTCAAGTGTAATTTATCGTGTTGTCATTCTCAAATTATTTCTTTTTTGTTCTTGTAAGGTTTCTGTGAACAGAAATCACTTTGTGGAATACAAACACAGGATCCCCATCCATCGAGTCAATACCTTGAATATTAATGGAAGTGTTGCTTTAACAAGTGTTGATATCCAGGCACAGGGGGTAAGAATCAATATATATTTTATATTGCTTTTTCATGTAATAATAAGCTGTAAATGTAAGAAGCAAAGATCATCATGACTGTCCCAATCATAACATTGCAGAACTTTAGCAACATCCTTTTGGTTTAATTTGTTAATTTGTCTTGATTTTATGAAATGTGGAATTTGATCAATTTACAAAAATCTGAGTTTAAAGCATTTTTAATAAAGTGCATTTTGGCAAAGTAATGTAATGTTGGGAAATGATGTATCCCTACCACAGTAATGTAACTTAATAATAGAATATAGTGACTTGAGCCAATATTGAGCCAGCACTTTGTATGTTGATCGCTTGGATACTAGTAAAGTAATATTAGCAGGCCTGTCATCAGTGGGGAAACCATTAAACATATAAAACTAAAAAATAAATGTTCTGTCAGTTCTTTCTCTCTAATCTTCTCTTGGTCAAACTTACAATGTCGCTATTGGATGCATCCTTTAGTCTTCATGGCTGGGGCATTAAAAATTACCATGGGTTCAGTATTTTGCATATTTTTCCTGGTTTGTGTGTGGATGAATCACACTATTTATGTAAGTGACAAACCTAAAATAAAATAATTATTTAAAAAATGGAAACCTGGGGTCCGTAGCATTCCTCCATCCTTCATCTCACTGCATGAGTGGAAAAAATAAATAATATGAGTTCCCTAAAAAGGTCTGTTAAACAAAGGGCACTATGAATGTTCACCCATTCCCAGTATGTAGGTATATAAGGGTAACAATGTCCCTCACTCTTTACCAGTCACCTTTGGGATAGATAAATAAATAGTTAAATATGAATTCCTTAATTTCTCTGCCCAGGCATGATGTTTAGGAATTTGATTTTGTTATTGAATGTACTAAAAAGCTAAATGTAATCTAAATTAACATATACATATGTTTGTGTGTTTAAGTTCTTTCTATTTCAGCTGCATTTCTCTATAATACATTTTATGTTTATCTTTTACATGTACATTATTTTCTCTTTTAGGCGGGATTCTTATCACAAATGAACAATGTAAGTTCCAGTTAAATCACAAAATGCATAAAAAAATCTCAATTCATTCTTTATGTGAATTCCCAATATCGTATAAAAATGTAGTCTATGGGAATGTAGATAAAGAACTGATTAATGAAGTCTAGATTTTCAGGAGATAAGCATAAACGGTCTGCATTCCGATATATTGTTCTATAAAAATCTTAAAAACATTTCCACTACTTAAAGGGTTAACATTAGAAGATGTTTAGTGTAATGGCCATAACAGAATAATGTAGTCATTTTTTGATAAAAAGGGAAATAAAACATTTAGTGCAATATTCCTGTAGTGATAAGGAAATATCACTAAATGAAAATACAAAGGGGATACATAACAGTAGGTATGTGTTATTGGAAAATAATATCACTGAGGAGAGATTTCAGCTCCATAAAATTCCTCAACCCCCAAGCAGATGCACACAATAGTTTAGTGTAGCAGCATTGCTTTCATCAATACAGTATATAGACCAAACTGAAACTAGAAAGAGTCTGATGAAATTGCAATAAAGTTAAAGGGATACTCCAGGCACCAATACAACTTCATGTAAATTAAGTTGTTATGGTGCCAGGAGGCCACTGTAAGCACTCTTACCTAAAGGGGCTAAACTGTTCTCAAATGGTCTAACTCAAAAGTTGCCTTCGGCGGCAATATCCACTCCCACCCCCCAGGTGGCATTCAGTTTCTAAATTTTTTGATTCAGGAATTGCGGAGTACTGTCGACAGAGGTGTCTCTGATTGTCTGAGAGCGGTCAGCTGACACTCTCAGCCAATCAGTGACTTCCCATTTAATAAACTGGCTTGAAAAAGGTACTTTTCTTTCCTAGCCTGTTAGAGTGTAACATTCTGAATTGTACAGACTACAGTATGCATCCACTAGGAGTCATTGAGAGAGTCCAGAAGCAATAGGTTGGTATAAGGCTTTGAACACTGTGGCAGCAATGGCCTAAGGTCCATAGCAGGTTGGACAGCCTTTGCTTTAACAAAGCAAGAATGAAAGGGGAGTTGACAAGGAATTCTTATTCATGATAAGTAAAGGGTCAAAATCAACAAAGTCTTAGTAATTGAGTCCTCATTGAGGGAGGGCAGGTAAGGTGAGTTTCATTTGCCTTAACCTGTCCCTTGCGGGCACCCCAATCCTTCTTGTCCTGCTCCTCTTCTCCTGCTGTATTCATGCGGGTGAGTACAGCATTGAGGTCTGTGGAGAATCTCACAAGATATGGCTTTCTTAGACACAGCCAATTCCCAGCAGCCATCACTGGTGACAGCAGTCGGGACTGACACTTTGACTCCGTCGTCTGTGTATATTTCTTAACTAGGTTGTAATTTCAGAGAAAGATTCTGTATTTATCATTTTCCAGGGGGGAGGGAGAATAGGGGTGAGCGTGACAGTGCTGCTTTAAAACCTTGTTAATTTATTCACATATAATCTGTTAGACATAGTAGCTGTCCTTAGTTACAGTAAATAGTCCTAATTTCTATTCAGGATCCTAATTCTACTGTCATAATCTTCTGACAATACGTAGAGTCCCTATAAATCAGTTGTGCTATTACAATGAACCTGCCATTTATGCAAGGTTTGTATGTTTAAAAATGTATGTGCCTTTATACACAGTAAATATATATTAATCTTGCATTTCCTTCTTTGTTTAAAACATAGCAACAACAGACAATGTGTGTTTATCCTTCCACACACAAATTGCTAAGTGCATTTCTTGCACACAGCATTATGGAAAACACTGATATGCTGTCATCATGCATAGCTCTGGCCATCTTTGTAGTTTTTACCACTGTCTTGTGGTGTAATCCTTATTAAACCTCAGTTTAAGAATGTTATTGAATCTGTACATTTTTCATGTTAATATGATACAGTTTATGAATTTAAAAGCAATGCGTTGTATGTGTTGGTGTTTGGGGCATATCTGTTCATGTTCATGTTTTGTACGTTTTTTTTATTGTCATTTGATTGTTTTGATGTTTTTGGTTTTCAGCCCGCATTCGCCCCACAGCCAGGATTTGCACCACAACAATTTCCCGGTGGACCTGCATTTAATGTAAAATATTTTTTTTTAAATATGTTTGCAGTACTTACCATTATTTCTGAGAATTACTATTTTACGTGTTGGAGCTAAGTGACCTTGAGATGTACTTTGCTCCATCTGGGATTTAGGCAGCTAAAACCTAGAGCTTAGTGAATGATAAAATGGTTAATTCATTAAGCAGAACTGTTTTTTTCTCTAATGATATGAGAATGTTTCTGTATGTAGTAATGCATGTCATCCTGTCTACTGGTTCTTTGGGAGTCATAGATCGTACCCTTTACTGGTCCCATAGGTAATTATCCGGTTTGAATTATGAGATTTATGATTCAACAGCTGTGAGAGTTGAGACAATCTCACTTCCTTTCTACTTATTATAGTTCACTCACTATATTGGCCACATTAAGTTAATGACAAATTCAACTTGTTTTGTTCAGGACAATAATGCTAATACATACATGTATGGCAAAGACTGTGCATAATGTATTTTATTATTTTGTTTTGTGTGTCCAATGTTGTCTTTGTTAAGCCAACTTCAATGTTGCATACTAAATGTTCAGTTCTTCTGTGTCATCTCAGCAAGAACGCCATGGATAGACTGTGCATGGAAAAAAATGCAGTTCAGCCAAATCAATTCAATCTAAACAAACAGCGTGTGTGGTCTGGAATCCCATCGTAGGGTGTTTCAGTTGCAATGACTTTTGGACAAGCAAACTATTTGGGAAAAACAATTAGCATGAACCAAAAGGGCATGAAAATTGGCCAATCAGTGTACTGCTAAATATATAGATAGTAACGAATAACTGATAGGCGCTTTTGGTTCACAGATCAAGTAAGACAAAGTAACCAATAGAAGGGGGAAAAGAAAGAGCAGTAAAATATATATATATATATATATATATTGCATAGTTATTAAATATACAGTATAATATATACATTTTACTGCTCCTCCTTTTTCCCCCTCTGGTCACTCACTTCTCACTTGATCTGTTAATAAAATCAAGATTTAGTGGGTAGCTCCTAACCAACAATCATCTTTTTTTCCTTGAGTGATCATTTAAAAAAATAACAATTTTTGTTGTCATGGATGGAACTCTGAATCATGAATCAAATGAAACTACTTATCCATTTTGTTAGTTTTGTGAATCGGTCATATGGTAATTCAGATCTGAGGAATTGCGACAAACTGCTGATCGTCCAAAATTTGAATGAATCGTAATTTGTTTATAACTGAATGCACATGTCTACTGGATATTATGTTAAACTCTTACATGCTAAAGTCCCTTATAAACAGTGTTGTGGCTTTGTATCTCCTGTATTTTTTATTTGGTATGTTTTTTGAAAAGCTTAATATATTTTTTTTTTTCAGCCCGGCCAGTTTCCTGGAGCTCCAATGCAGTTTGCTAATTTTGTAAGTTTCTTAACTGTTTGATCACATTACCTTTAGTTAACAGCAATGGTTTAGTCATTGAAGTTAGGATGGTTGTTCCAAACCCAGTCCAGAAGGCATACCTGCTGTCCAGGACTTGTCAGTATCTTATTGGAACAGAATTGAGACAAAATCTTGTACTGTTGTTGAGGTTTGAAGATTGAATTTGGAACAAATGAAATAAGATATACACATATAGTATATTAATTAACAGGTTTCTTTATTTCTGTAATTTTGTTTGTGAGAGATGATATACTTTATATTTTCTTTGAATTTCATTGTAATATTTGGATGAATCTGCTGTTTTTATGCTTTACACAATGTAAGATTAACAGCTGGTATACATCATTTTTGTGTGTGTATTGTTTTTTTTTGTCACTCAGAACATTACACAAGAAATATAAATATGCGGTAACTGCTACAAGTGGTACTCTGAATTTCTACTTACTGTTCCCATCCTAAATTTTGAAAGCCTGTATCCAGGATGCAGTTTGCCAAGTCCACATTTTGAAACTGGAAAAAATGAATAAATGAGCCACAACACCAACAAAAAGTAATGTTATTTATTCCACCAGTAGATGGACATGACATATTTTTTGACCCAGTGCTGGTCTTTGTCAGGCCAGGTCAACAGTGAGCACATTTTTAAAAGTGCTAAAATACACAAATGAAACAAAAATAATGGATCACCATGGTAATCATTAGGAACCGTATATCATGTGATGTATTTATGCTGAATCATGTGACAACTAATATTTATGTGACAAATCATGTGATATATTCATCATGTGATAAGACCAGTGTGACTGAAGCTCCCGTGCCACAACTTTCTGGAGAGGCATAAAGGATAGCTTCCTGCCCACAGACTATGGAAGTAGTCCCAGGAGCCCCTAAAGGGGGCTATTGTCTCTGTACGTATGGGGCCCCAGATGCTTGTTGTATTACAACAGTATCCCAGTGCCCAGAGACCCTTTTTTTAATATGGTGTTGTTATGGGTGCCTGTATGTTTTCCCATATGATTTAGTTATATGTATTAAATGGAATGTTTGGATTGTCCAGGTTGTGTCTTTGACACTAATGTAATTAAGTTTTGTAGTGTAATTGGTTACTAGCCCAAGTCCATTTGCTATTGGTTGGCTTGGGATAGGCAGTGTAATTGGTTACTAGTCCAAGTTCATCTGCTATTGGCTGGCTTGGGATAAGTAGTGTAATTGGTTACTAGTCCAAGCAATCAGTGATGCAGAGCATGAGTACGTCCAGCGTCATTTTTTTTGCAACCTAGAATTTGTTAAACTCCAGGAAGCACCTCTGGTTTCTCTAAAACTGCAATGTTTTACATTGCAGGACTAAGGGGGGTTGGGACACTGCACCCATACCACTTCGATGAGATGAAGTGGCCTGAGTGCCTATAGTGTCCCTTTAATAAAATCTCTATTAACTCTCTGTTGTTGTTGTATAAATCATTTGCACAAAAATTACTAATACTAGTTAATATCTGATTAGTCTTACATTCGTGTTATTTTTATCTATATTTATTGAACCTAATGGTGTATATTTATTATTTAATTTTTTATTTATTTTGTTTTTAATTGTATTCAGCAACCAATTTCAGCACAGTATATTATTTAATCAGCCACGATTAATTAATTGCAAAATATATTCGGGACCGGGGACGGGGGGTTGAAACCATTACGGGACCGGGGATGGGGGGGTAGAACCACTACGGGACCGGGGATGGGGAGAAAATTACTCTTAAGATGATTATTAAAGTAGCAGACATGCCAATATTAATTTAGGTAATTTAGGTGTATATGCAATAACAGTAGGACATAAAGAAACATTTCGGTTCTCTCTAAAAGGTTACTACCACTTAAAACATTTCGGTTGTGATAAATTTTCTCCATAATTCAAAATTTACAAGAAAAATAAAGAATAAAAAGAATAAAAATAGAAACTACAAATAAAATAAAAATATGAAAAAAATACATAATTAGCACAAACAGCATATTGGGCAGTGTTCACTTACCTCTGCAGTAATATTGTGACTTTTTGTGATATGACTCCTTTACCTGAGTCTGATGTTGCATATAAAACTTGTATGAAGATACGATCACATGATTTGTCAAATGACTATTAGTTGTCACATGATTCATTATAGATATATCACGTGATATATGGTTCCTAATGATTAAAATGGTAATTATTTATGTTTGTTGATTTTATCACTTATTCAGTGTTTTACTGTACTGTTTTAAAAGTGTGTTGAGCTCACTGTTCACTTGGCTTGACAAAAACTGGATTGAAACATTGCCAGTTCAATTTAATGGTGTAATAAAATACTTCTTTGAAAATTATTTGATGGTGTTGCTGCTCATTTACTACATTAATGCCATTCGGATCAGGAGTGTATATTGCACACATATGCATTCATTTCTGTGTATGTTGCCAGCCACCTTATTATTGTTTGTTAAAGCATTGTCCACTTGCTCCACTCATTTAGTTGGTATGCGCTGGTGTTCCAGCATAAATCAAAACTCCTGCCATACTTGGCAGTTGTAATTCAGAGGCTCTATATCTTTCTTAAGGGAGCCATGTAAGAAATGTCAGAAATGTAATATATATATTTTCTCTTTGAGCATTAATAGAGGTGTAGAACTATTTTTTTTTAATTATTTTTTTTTTCATTTTGCAGGCAATTCCATATACAACTAATATCTTTGGGGGATTTTTTCCTTCCAAAACAATTGTTATAAATGGAACAGTTTCGGTACATCCCAAAAGGTAAAATGCAAGTTTTCTATAGGTAGGATCTTTTACTAAAGTGGTATATATCGACTGTTCAGCTTCATATATGGCATTAGAAAGACTGCAGAGGCGGGCTACAAAATTAATAAAAAGAATGGAACATTTTAGCTATGAAGAAAATGTAACAAATTTAAACCTCTTTAGTTTAGAAAAACGTCGCCTGAGAGGGGATATGATAACATTATACAAATATTTTCGGGGCCAGTACAAACCATTGTGTGGAAATCTATTCACAAACAGGACTTTACATAGGACACGAGGTCGTGCGTTTAGACTGCAAGAAAGAAGATTTAGTCTAAGGCAAAGGAAAGGTTTTTTTACCGTAAGAACAATCAGGATGTGGAATTCTCTGCCTGAAGAAGTGGTTTTTATCAGAGTCAGTACAGATGTTTAAACGGCAACTAGGTGCATACATGCAAAAACAGAATATTCAATTATATCATTTTTCAACTGTAGGGTAATAGCTTCTTGATCCAAGGATAAATCTGACTGCCATTCTGTGGTCAAGAGGGGATTTTTTCCCTAGTTTGTTGCAAAATTGGAAGTGCTTCAAACTGGGTTGTTTTGAATTCTTTTGGATCAACAGTAAAAAACAAATGTGAGGAAGGCTAAACTTGATGGATGCAAGTCTCTTTTCAGCTTATGTAACTATATAAAATGCTGTCTAAACTAATTTAATAGTATTTTATTGGCTGGTTATTATTATTTAATAATGCTGTGTCTTAAGGGCATAGGAGAGTTGAACGTGGAAAGGTGAAGTGTTTCATATAGTCCCCCCAAAAATACCCTTTTTTCAAAATACTGCTCTCATCCATTTAAATGCTCTCTATAAGAAGTATATAAATTGAAGGACTGAGTCTGGCTCGAATCTCACAGTGTAAGTGCTACTAATTTCTACAAAACAGCAATGTGAAACATTGCAAGGTTAAAACAGCAGTGATGAAGTGAAGATGAAATGAACTGGGTGCCTATAATGTCCTATTAATGAGAGAACAGAACAAAGGACATCTTGGTGAAGGCAATGGGAGGAGGCTATAGGGAAGAGAGAAACACAAATCCGAGCATATTTAAATATATATTTTAGATGTGAAGTATCAGGGGTATGTTAATAAGAATTTTTGAGTCATGAAACTTGTAAAAATGCTATATTGCACTTCACTAAAACGCTTTTTTAACCTTAGATTTCATATCAACCTGAAATTCAAAGATGGGACTGCACTGCACTTCAACCCAAGGTTTGATGAGAACACAATTGTACGAAACAGTCGTCTAAATAACAGCTGGGGCAAAGAGGAACGTCAATTGTCGGGCCATGGGATGTGTTTTGCACCAGGACAAAGCTTTGTAGTAAGTTTGGACATAGATTGGAAATTTGCATGTTTCGAATTCTAAGTATTGATCATGTAGGCATTCAATTAAATGTTGAGTTACTGAGATCTGGGTTTTCAGCATTTTGGGTCTAGCATTGCCATTGTGTGCTGATATACGACTTCAATTTCATAATGTCTCCTTCCACAGATTCAAATCATCTGCGAACCCCATGCTTTCAAGGTGAATGTAAATGGGCACCATGTGTGTGACTTCAATCACCGCGTACACAATTTGCAGCAAATAGACACTCTTGAAATTGACGGAGATGTCACTCTTCAGCATGTCCAGATTTGAAGATGGATAACCAGATGTGGTTTTTGTTTATGTACACTTCATTTTTAATTTCAATTATGATCATTGCTTTGATTTTTAATGTGACTAAGGTAACTGTGAATTTGATGCTGCTTAGTCTGCCCACTTTATTTTAAGAACCTTTGTATGTAAGATGAGGTTGCAAACAAGGTGTGTTTTATTTGTAGTTAGTGGTCCAAAGACAAGGAAATAAAAGGTGTTACAATATCGCTCCCTTCAGAAAAAAGTAGATTAGTACAGAAAATAGGGTTCATTTGTTAAACTGTGTATAGTGAGTTGAAAGCCAAATTGTAATATTCAGGACCATATAGCTGTGAAAATATTTTCCAGCTCAAGTCACAGCTTGATATTTTTGTCTACATTTTGGAATTCAGTTTTGAGTTTACAACAGATTGGTTTTTTTTATTATTGTGTAAACCCCAATGGTTCATTAAAGTTCTGTATTTACTAAGCTATTTATTAATCAATCAGTTAACTATGGTAGTTAGAGGATAAGAGATTTTGCAACAGTTAGATAAAATACAAATGAAATATTGTTAAGTGCTTACTGGAATATGGGTGGAAGGATCTAAAACCAATAAATGCAAACGTGATACAGCATGCACAATATGGTGCTAACCTTGCAAATGTAGCACAAATCTATAAACTCTGTATTTCCTTAAGGAGTGCTGGACCCGTACTTTTTAATTTTCATTTTGCCATATTTAGATAAATGAACAAGGCTAGTATATTCTCAGTTCTCAATCTTTGAGTAATCCTTTTGTTCAAAAACCACACACAGTGTTCATATTAAAAACGTTGGCAAAATATATGTAGATTTTTTTTAATATTCAACAAAAGGAAATGCTGTTGAGGATGTGGTCTAAACACGTTTGTATCTCATGACTTACATCAGTACCCTTTAATGTATAACATTTAAAAAAGAAATTAAATATATATACTTGCTAATTCAAATAACTTAATAAAATGCTAAATCAGTTTCTATTTTTTTTTAAATATTTTTCTCGTCATTAATATTTGAATCTACTATTTTTGTTAAAAAAAAAATCAAAAAAAATCCAGACCTGCACAACTTGGAAATAGGTAGGGGCCAAAATTAACTAGGAAAAGCTTCCTTGTGCTGCAAATAAGCACTTAGAGCCTACCACACGCACACAGACAGACATAGAGATACACGCACACACACTGACAGACATACAGATGCACTCACACACAGGCAGGCATACTGACAGATACACACACACTGACAGACATACAGACACACATACACACAATGACAGACATACAGACACACACACTGACAGACATACAGGTCAAAATATACATTTGTATAGCCACTCTCCAGATTTTTTACCTTTTGGGTGCTGGAGGGTGGCTTCCCTTGTGTCCATTCTGCAGGCTGAGGATGTTGGGAGTTAGGGGTGGACTCTTGTAGCCTGCTCCCTATTCTCTCCTATCTTGTCCTCTTTGCTCCCTCCGTGCAGCTCCAGTGTCTCGCAGCCTGACCCCCTTCTCACATCCACCTCCCCCCTCCTACTGGGCTCCAGTCTCTGGGAGGAAGTGACTTGCAGCACTCACTTTCTCCCATGCTGCCAGTAAGCAAGGGGCATGGGCCACCTGATGGGACTCCTAATTGAGCAAGCCACCTGAAATGCTTTGGCAGGCCTTAAGTTGTGTAGGTCTGTAATAATCTGTTTCCAGGTCCCACCAGGGTTTTTTTTTTAATTTATATTTTATTAGAGTTATAAGCATGTATATCTCTGTGCCATTATATGCGAGAAATAAACAAATAGAGAGTATACGGTTCAATATGGTCCAGCAAACACACTAATGCCAGCAAGAGATATAGAACATGGACAAGGGACAAATGAGAGGGACAAAGGATAAATGGAAGGCGTCGGTCAAAAACAATAGCATTGGTCCTTAGGTTAGGTGTAGCGATTGACCACATAAGTCAGTAGAATTAGTTTATATTCTGTCTATTAGCAATCGCTATTGAGTGTCCGAACTGTCCCTGACGGTAGGTACGTGTTGTTTAGTCGGGCTTCTCCGCTGGTGCGCTCTTCCTGAGGTTCTTTTCTCACGTGGTGTATCTTCCCCGGTTGCTCCCTCTAAGGCGTTGGTGGCCGATAGGCCTAATTTATGATAGAGCGTCTCTGGGTCATCCGAGGATGTCAGGGTGAGTGTTTCCGCGCCTCGTGTGATGGCCAGGGAGACTTCTGCGTTCCGGCGGTACTTGACTGAGCAGTCTCGCAACTTCTTAGCCACCGGTGCCAGCTGCCTCCTTTCTGCTAGGACAAGGAATGGTAGGTCACTGTAGATGGATAGGTTATGGCCCTCGAAATGCACTCGACCCATTGTTCTGGATTTATTCAGGATGGCGGACCGCACTGCAATGTCTTTGGTAGTTGCAATAATGTCTCTCGGTGCGTCCGCTGGCACCGCTGCAGCTTTGCGCACCCGAAAAGCAGCTAGGATGCATGGGGTGTCTGTCGCCTTTTGAACTCCCATTGAGATAATCAGCTTTTGGACATATGACAGTATGTCTCCCCCCTCTACCTGTTCAGGTATGCCTCTCAGGCGTACATTTCGTCTCCGGTGCCGGGACTCCAGTGTGGTCACTATTTTGTGCAGTTGTTTGACCTGTGAGGCGAGACCCTCCACCCGTTGTGTAGTCGTCTTGAGTTGAGTATCCCGAGCTTGTTCTCTGACCTCAGCTGCTGATACTGTATGCTGCAGGGCTTTTATGTCAGCTTGCGTTTCTTGGAGGTCTGACTTCCACACTTCCCTTAGGTCCACTAATAACTTTTTAATGTCTCCTTTTGTGGATGGGGATGAATCTTCGTCTGAGTCAGCTTGCAGGTATACACCAGCTGGGTGAGGAGAGTTACTTGATTCCATCTCCCCAGGGGAGTCATCTGAGGCCCCTTGCTCACTGTAATGGTCGGGTGCCAGTGCCACCCTTGCGGGTTCTGGCAGGGGTGCCCTCTCAAAGGATAGCCTTATGTCCTGAATCGCTTGCCTTTCTATCTGCATCAGTCTCTTGTGTTTGCGCCCCATAGTTGCTGTGAGTTGTTAGGAGTGCCAGCAATTACCCTTGCCGGCGTGATGGGGGGTGCGGTGGTCTCTGGTGGGGTCTACAAGCCTTCAGGTACCTGAGCGGCGGGGCTGGCCACCTCCCGTCTGCGCACACGGGGTAGGCCGCGGTTTGTGTTGCCGCCGATGTCGGAGCTGACACTTCCGTCGCGGTGTAAATGTTCACCGGGTGTCCCTCCAGCCTCTGGTGAGTGGCCTGGCTGTGGATGGGCTCGGTTCGAGTGGTATATACCCCAATTTGGGCACTTTTTTGCCGGAGCTCTGGCGAGTTGCGACCTCCCGGCTCGGCAGTTAGGCTCTACCCCCCCCCCAGGGTTTTTTGACACTTTATTTAATTGTGCAATTAGGGAACAAAGCATGTTGGCCACGCCATGACAGTGGGACAAACTAGATGATGCAATACTTATTGAGCTGATTTAGTGAAACATGCGTCAGGGGCATTGCTGAGTCCACAATACTGCTTGTGGTTTTCTTTTTATTTCTGATTTTTTGACATTTTTCTTTTTATTGCCATTATACTTATTTTAGGAGCGAGTGGTTTTGATTCCAAATTAGGGTCATTTTAGGGCTAAGGGGTGCCCTCGAAGGCACTATAGGGACAGCTATTTGGTTATCCTCCCTTCCTTTATTCCCCTTTACCCACCCTGCCCCATACTTGGTAGTATTGTAGGAATTCTCCTTAAGTGTCAGAACGTAGCTGACAGTTATTACTATCTTGGTTACATTTTGGATACAACCTCAGAGCTACTGTTATACATAGTTGCTAATCAAGATAGTACTTTATTGGAAACCACTCAGTCAGTATTTACTATTTATTAATTGCCAGTGGATATCCTGTTATTACACAGTCTTATTTATATAGGATCCATTGCATTATATTTAATCCCTCTCTAGGGAAGGTTATAATTTCTCAGCAGTTTGGACCAGCTCCTTTTCTCATTTTAAATCTATGTTTAATGAACATGCACTTAGTACTATTAGTTCTGTACTGTAGTGGGTCTTTTGTTACAAGAGACTTTTTAGTGATTTATATTTTTATTAAAAGTTATGTTTTAATCTCTGTTTCTATATATATATATATATACTTGTTCCTAGTATTCCATTCTTTATATATTCATTGTATCCTCAGTTTCTTTCCTTTTCTGCAATACTTATTGTGATAATGTTATGGCATTGATTTCTTGCACTTTTTTTTTTTTTTTAAATGTAGATTATAGCATGCTAGTCAGGTATGTCTAGGTTGAATGGTCATACGGCAATTAGCAGATACATAGGATTTCAGTAAGGTTTTTGACACTGTCACACATAGAAGGCTTATCAATAAACTGCAATCTTGAATGGGCTAGGCAGTGGCTGAGTGACAGGCAATGTAGTTGGGGTACCTCAGGGATCTGTACTTGGACCCATTCTCTTTAATATTTTTATTAGTGATATTGCAGAAGTCTTGATGGTAAGGTATGTCTTTTTGTTGATGATACTAAGATATGTAACAGGGTTGATATTCCAGGAGGGATAAGCCAAATGTCAAATAATTTAGGTAAACTAGAAAAATGGTTAGAGCTGTGGTAACTGACATTTAATAAGTGCAAGATAATGCATCTTGGATGTAAAAACCCAAGGGCAGAGTACAGAATATTTGATACAGTCCTGTCCTCAACATCAGACGTATTAGCAGTAAAATGAGGGAAATGCCCATGTCATTGTACAGAGCACTGGTGAGACCTCACTTGGAATATTGTACGCAGTACTGGAGACCGTATCTTCAGAAGGATATTGATACATTAGAGAGAGTTCAGAGAAGGGCTGCTAAACTGGTTCATGGATTGCAATGTAAAAAAACCATACCAGGAAAGGTTAAAGGATCTTAACATTTTGACCTGGGACCATACAACCACACAGTCTTAGTGGTAGGAACACCACACAAATCTTATTTCTTGTAAATGCAGTCTTTTATTAAGAGGTCTGGCAATTTAAACAAAACCAAAAAAGAAAAGCCTTGCTCTTCTTAGCACTGACAGTTTTTTTTCTCCAACTGCTTTTGGGCGGCTTTCCCGCTTCCAACCATACAAAATACAATTTTTTTCTCCTTCAGAACACGAAGACTCTTGTGGGGGGAAAATGCAGTCTCACACACTGCTTGTCGTTCTCCCTGTGAATCCCTGACGGGGAATTTTATATCAGTCATGTGCTAATCATTGCCAACAGGTGAACAACTATCTGGGTGATCCAGAACTCCTGGACTGCTCACCTGCTGTACTGTATGTAAACTAAAATAGAGCACTGGCCCTCGCTACACTCCAAATGCTCCACCCCAGGAACCCATATTAAATTGCAAAATTGCTCTGACTAAAACAGACAGACCTTCTTCCTGGGGATATTAATTTACATATTCCAATACTTTTGGAGAAATATACACTCCATTCATAACAATGCCTTGCACTCGGTCACACATCCTCCCTCCCAGCTCAACCCTAGTGGGGTGAGCGACCATTGTCATAAGGGTATGTTTTGGTGAAAGGCCATCAGCATTTCCTTGTGTAGAGTTTGCCCTGTGCTCTACTGAGATATGATAGGGTTGTAAAGTAAGGAACCAGCGAGTAACTCTGCTATTGTTTTCTTTATTCTGACTCATCCAAATGAGTGGTGCATGATCTGTCACCAACTCAAATTTCCTGCCCAACTAGTAGTACTTGAGTTTCCACAGCCCACTTAATAGCTAGACACTCCATCTCGACTGTTGAATATTTATTTTCTCGGGTTTGAAGTTTCCTGCTCAGGTACAGAATTGGGTGCTCTTCTTGAATTTCCTATGACAGTACTGCTGAGTCCTACATCAGATACATAGGATGTCTTTCTTATGTACCCAATAAAAGATTGCGATCTGGTTAAGAATTAGAGGTAGAGAATTGCTAATATAATAGCTTTTTAATCATGGAGCTTAAGTAGCACTAGTCTATACTGTGCCTTCATGGGCACCTAATCTTTGAAGTAAACTAACTAGCTCTATCTTATTATGCTCCATAAAACATGGTGCTCCCATTTAGCAAACGGTCAGTCTAAATATCTGTTAGGTATCTGACTGAATATAGGTATTACTTAGCTATCGCTTCCAGGGGTATAACTTCTGCACACCTATAAAGCTTTGTAAGTTATTGTCAGAGAGTACCGTAATCCGTGCCCCGACAAATGTATATCCAGGCAGGCTCTTCAGGAGGAAATTAAGTAAGTCCCTGAGCAGTTTAAGTGTCGTATGAGATGCACGCCCAATATTCTGTCAAACCTCATATGATACTTGAACAGCACACATGGCCAGAGGTAAAAGCTGGTAGTGCTCAGGTGCGCAATCATTCCACAGCAGCGATGGAGAATGCAGTCATCTAAGATGAAGGCAGAATCAGAAGTCCCCTATGGTATGTTTTTTTAGCCACAGATGTTAATGACAAATATTTACATTGATGAAACTATTCATGTCTACCTGCTTAAGAAACGTGATCCAGGATATTTTTTCTGGAATAAAAATGTCCAAATCTAAAGAGTTAACCTCATAAATCATTCTGTAAAGGGGTGTACTGTCTGTTTAAAACTACTTTATGTTTATTATAGCAAAAAAAGCACCAATTAATAAATACAGTTATACACTATACACTAATAAGCCACAACATTAAAACTATCTGCCTATTTACGTGCCTCCTCGTGCTGCCAAAACAGCTCTGATCCATTGGACCATGGATTTCACAAAACCACTGAACGTGTTCTGTGGTATCTGGCACCAAGACATTAGCAGCAGATCCTTTAAATCCTGCAAGTTGCAAGGTAGGGCCTCCATGAATAAGATTTGTTGTTTCAGCCAGGGGCGTACCTGGAGCATTTGGCACCCGGGGCGGATCCTTTATTTGGCACCCCCCCTCCCAACTTTAAAATGTAAAAAACAACTGCAAATGTATTTAGCACTGAGCAGTGTTTGTATATTTTCAATGTAAGCATGTTTTTGCATGGAGTATATGTGAGTGAATATACGGGTGTGTTTGCACGTATTGGCATTTGAATGCAGGTGTGCATTTTTCTGTAGTGTAGTTTTTGAATATGGTGGTGTGTTTTTATGTAGTGTTGACATTTAGATGCAGGGTTGTATTTGTGTGTAGTGTTGACGAAATGCTGAGATGCATGCACATATACACAAATACTCACATATACACACACTGGCACACATACAGATACACAGACACATAGGTACAAACAGGCAGTTACATAGAAACACAGGCATACACAGATGCAGAAAAATTCTGACACACATACAAACACACAGAGAGAGGCACACAGGCACACATACAGATAGACACATACATACAGATTCACAGACAGACCAAAACAAACACAGACACACAAACAGATACACATACTGATACACAGACATGCAGATACACATGTATAATGTGTTTGCGTAGTGAATGCAGTGTGTTTGCGTAGTGTATGCAGTGTATGTATAGTGTATGCAGTATATGTATAGTGTATGTAGTGTGTGGATAGTGTATGGAGTGTGTGTATAGTGTATGCAGTATGTGTATAGTGTATGGAGTGTGTGTATAGTGTATGCAGTGTATGTATAGTGTATGCAGTGTGTGCATAGTGTATGCAGTGTATGTATAGTGTATTCAGATGCAGTGTGTGTGTTGTGTGGTGGAATAAGTGCTGCCACTTACCTGCCCGTCCCGCCCTCCTCGACTGGTGGTCCGGTGGCACAGCATAGATGGGCAGTGAAGAGGGGCCCAGAACTCTGCACGCTCGTTTCCCATCCAGCAGCAGCAGCAGGTCCTCTGTTCTCGCGATCCGCGAGAACAGAGGACCTGCTGCTGCTGGATGGGAAACGAGCGTGGATACTCTCGTAAGCGGCTAGTCCCTATACTTAAGACGCAGGGGCTCCCGCTCCCGCCGCACCCCCTTTAATACGCCACTGGTTTCAGCACATCACACAGATGCTTAATCGGATTGAGATCTGGGATATTTGGAAGCCAAGGCAAAACCTTGAACTCTGTTATATTCCTCAAACAACTCCTGAACATTTTTTGCACTGTGGCAGGGTGCATTATACTGATGAAAGAGGCCACTGCTGTCAGGGAACACCATTGTCATGAAGGGGTGTAGGTGATCTGTATCAGTCACTAGGTAGATTGTATGTGTCAAAGTAACATCCATATAAATGCCAGGTCCCAAGGTTTCCCAGCAGAGGATAACACTGCCTCCGCTGGCTTGTCTTTATCCCATAGTGCATTCTGCCTCCATCTCTTACCCAGATAAACAACTCACACGAACCAGGCCATCTATCTTATCTTAAAGAAAACATGATTCCTCAGACCAGGCAACCTTCTTCCAATTCTCCATGGTCCAGTTGAAAGTTGACTAGTCTTACTCTGCAGCTCACCCAGGGCTGGACTGGCACACCTGGATACCTGGAAATATCCAGGTGAGCTGCAGCATTTTGGGCTGGGGAGAGCGCCCTAATATCTATAAGTAATACCATTTCCAGTAAGGAGCTTGGAGTCGGTGCGGCCACATTGAGGGAGCACTGCAGGGAGGGAGCTTTCTGGCACTCAATCTCTGCCCTCGGATCACAATCTGCTCACCTCAGGGCAGGAAGAGGCCAGGAAATGGAGTCCTCATCTTCCAGGGCTTTCACAGCAGCAGCCTGCAGCTAGTGAGTGAGAGTGCTTGTGTGTGTGTGTACCTGCTATTGTGAGAATGTGTGTATCAGTGAGCATGTCTGTAGTAAGCATGTGTGTGTGTATCAGTGAGTATGTCAGCAGTGAGCATGTATGTGCATCAGTGAGCATGTCTGTAGTAAGCATGTATGTGTGTCAGCGTGCATGTCTGCAGTGAGCATGCATGTGTGCATCAGTGAGCATTTCTGTAGTAAGCATCTTTGTGTATAACAGTAAGTTTGTCTGTAGTAAGCTTGTGTGTGCGTCAGAGAGTTTGTCTGTACTAAGTTTGTGTGTACCTGTAAGCTTGTCTGTGTTTGTCAATGATCTTGTTTGTCAATGATCTTGTGTGTCAGTGAGATTGCCTGTCTGTGAGTCTGTGTACCAGTGAACTTGTGTGCTTGTGTCAATTAGATTGTCTGTGCCTGCATGTGAGTATGCTTACTGTATAACTAATTTTTTTACCCTGAATTACTAATATTTATAATTTAAAAAAAAGGTACATAATAATAAAAGTATATGTGTGTGTATATACATATATATATACAAAAAATGATTCTTGGCACTCGCCCTTTCATGTAAATAATCCAATTTTGCCTAGGTGCAATCCCACGTTGAAGATATATAAGCAAAAATAAGGAGATGCACTCTGAGGACTTAATAAGTGAAAAAAGGGAATTTATTCCAGGAGGTATTACACCAAAAATGAACCGACGTTTTGACCCATTCGGGTCTTTCTCAAGGTCCTTACCTACTGGAATAAATTCCCTTTCTTCACTTATTAAGTCATCAGAGTGCATCTCCTTATTTTTGTTTATATCTCCTTTAGTGATAATGCTAAATATGCCTTTATAACATTTAAAATACGTCATTTAAAATAAGTCTTGCTACCCCAGATTGAGTAATTCTAATTCATAAACATATATATAATTTTTTTCCATATATATATATATATATATATCGGAATGAATTATGTAGGCTCTATAAGTCATTGTGCCATGGTAGTGTGTATATATATTCACACACACACACACACACACTACCGTGGCACAATGACTTATAGGGCTGGCATACATTTTTTTTTCCAGGGCTGCTTTGCATTCCCAGTCCAGCCCTAAGCTCACCCAGAGCTCAATCAGAAGGAGAGAGAGGAGCCAGCCGCAAGATTGACAGGTTAGCCCATATGTTAAATCAACCTAGCACACAGAGGCAGTGGCTAGAAGGGGTTGGCAACCTTTGCACTCCAAATGTTGTGCAATATATCTCTCCTAATGTTTTGACAACATTCTGGGTATAGTTGCATTATGGGAGATGTAGAACACAACATCTGAAGTGCAGAATGTTGCCTAACCATTCAGAGATGAACAAGGAAGGAAGTTGCTGGATCCAGGAACCAAAGCAAACGTAAAATAAGTATAGGAAAGTCAAGAGCAGTAGTCAGAAAATACAATGTGAGAAACAAAATATACCATACACAAGGTTATTTGTTAAAGTATGACTTTTAGGTCCTTCTATGAATAGTGAATTTTAGATGGGAACAGGCAAACTGAATACATGACAAATTTGTATAATTTCAAAAATAGCCCTACTTAAACAATATGTGAATTTTAGATTGCTTCTATTTATTAAAAAAAAATGTGGAAATCAGGGCTGATCGGGGCTGAATATTTTCTTTATAAACGAGAAATGGCTTTAGAAATGTTTCCTCTTTTGCACCTGGGATATTATTCTGTTTAGCCACTAGAGGTCACATGTAGCATAGGAAAAAAGGTTATCTACTTTCTAGCATTATTATTATTTTATTATTTATATAGTGCCAGCAAATTTGTACAATGGGACATGTCATAAATTTGTGTGCACTAATGTAATTTCTTTACAAATGTCTAAATTAATTATTAAATTATCAATATGCCTGTGCTACTCCTTTTGGACTGTGTTTAATCTTTGGTATATACATGCACATGACGAGATTGGGAAAATAGGTGCCTATCAATAAGGTGACAGGGTCAATTTAAAAATTTATTTATTTTTTTCCATTTATTTTTTATTGAAGGTTTTTCAAAAGTATAAATCCAGTACATAGTTGCCTCTTAATGTATACAATCAAGTAGTTAGTGGGTTACGAGATTTAAAATTATTTTCTATTCATAAAACTTTCACGATAATAATCTAATAGGATATTTACGATATGGCTTGCAATACTGTAGAGATAGTATATTCATTCTTAGAGTGAATGACCTGACCCTATATTTTTGGCATCGCACCACTAACTTGTATTTCTGCTTTTTCTTTGTATTTTCTTTGAAAGCATAATGCTAAGTATTCTTCATTCAATCTGGTGTCCATGGCAATTCATTGAGTGATCTTAAAGTGGAGTGGATCACTGAGGAAGTTGTTTATTGCATGCACAAATTTTTTTTTTAAAAATCCATCCTGATATGGAGTGACTAGGTCTTCACTTTAAGACTTTCGGCTACCATGAAGACATTGAGTAGCAGGTAGAAGCCCAATGTAAAATAACTCTTTACAATTAAAGGGACACTATAGAACAACTACAGCTTATTAAATTTGTTCTGGTGAGTAGAAACATTACCTTCAGGCTTTTTGCTGTAAACACTGTCTTTTCAGAGAAAATGCAGTGTTTACATTACAGACTAGTGATAACTTCACTGGCCACTCCTTAGATGGCTGTTAGAGATCCTTCCTGGGTCATGGCTGCCTAAAATGCATCCAAACATTCAGTATCTCCTCCCTCTGCATGCAGACACTGAACTTTCCTCATAGAGATTCATTGATTCAATTCATCTCCATAAGGAGATGCTGATTGGCCAGGGCTGTGTTTGAATCATGCTGGCATTGCCCCTGATCTGCCTCTTTGTCAGTGTCAGTCAATCCTATGGGGAAGCATTGTGATTGGATCAGGCCACCACTTCTGATGATGTCAGCAGACTGCTTGTTTTTTTTTTAGGCAAACAGCATGCAGAGTCATGGACGTCCGCAGGAATTTTTCCGGGGGGTGGGGGGGGCAAGCATAATTGTAATGATATCCATGCTTGATCCATTTTTGACAGTGTCATAAAAGGGAAGGGGCATAGTCATTATCACATAATCACATAAAGCCAGGGTGAATAGCGTTTTCACAACTATGGTGTCAGGAATACATGTTTGTATTCCTGACACTATAGTGTTCCTTTAAGCAAAATAAAGAAACATTCTGGTCACCATAATAACTTCATCTAAATGAAAATGCTATGATGCCAGGAACCGCCTGGGTGCTCTCTTTCCTTTAAGGGGTTAAACCGCTCTCAAATGGTTTAATCCCAAAGGCTTCCTCCAGCTCCAGATCTCGAGGTCGCTCAGTGGTATTCGGCTTCTGAAACCGAGTGTCAGGAAGTGCAGATTGATGTCAGGCATGGGTGCCGTGTTCAGTTGACGCTCTAAGCCAATCGCTAGTTCCCGGTTCATAAAAATGTTCCTGACACTTCCCGACACTCAGTAAATAAAAGTGAACACATTAACACTGATATATTTTTTTTACCTGGGGAAATGAGAAGGTCCAAAGTTTCCATGCCAGGCCCAGGTACCAAAGCCTTATGATGTGGTGTCCAGAATAAAGTGGAGGGTTCACTTCACTTGTCCTTCCAGATCCAATCACCTTTTCTTCTCCTTCATTTGACAGTCTTTTTATTCTTCTGACACTGTCTTCACTCCTCCTTGGCAACTTCTGCTCCTTTACCTTTCTGCTTCTTTTCTGCTCCTTGCAGACCCTTTCTGCTCCTTCTCCTACTTTACCTTTGTGCTCCTTGCTGTCCCTTTCTGCTCCTTGCTACCTTTTTCTGCCTCTTCTCCTACTTTACCTTTGTGCTCCTTCTGATTCTTTCTGCTCCTTTACCTTTGTGCTCCCTCTGTCCCTCTCTGCTCTTTGCAGACCTTTCCTTCTCCTTGCAGACCCTTCCTGCTCCTTGCAGACCCATCCTGCTTCTTGCTGCCCCTTCCTGCTAATTTCTACTCCTTCTCCTACTTTACATTTGTGCTCCTTCTGCCCCTTCCAGTTCATTGCTGACCATTTCTGCTCCTTGATGTCCCTTCCTGCTCATTTCTGTTCCTTCTACTACTTTACCTTTGTGCTCATTCTGTCCCTTTGTGCTCCTTGATGCCCTTTCCAGCTCCTTGCTGACCCTTTCTGCTCCTTCTACTTTACCTTTATGCTGCTTTACCTTCCAACTCCTTGCTGACCCTTCCTGCTCCCTACAGACCATTCCTGCTCCTTGCAGACCCTTTCTGCTCATTTCTGTTCCTTTGTGCTCCTTCTCCTACTTTACCTTTTGTGCACCTTGATGTCCCTTCCTGCTCATTTTTGTTCCTTCTCCTTTCTGCTCCTTCTCTTACTTTCCCTTCCTGCTCCTTGATGACCCTTCCCGTAGGCTGTCTCCCCCATCCCTCACTTACCTGATTTATAGGCTG